CACTTCAAGATACCTCAGTACTGTGTTGAAGGCGTAATTTATTTGATTCATTATTGAATTGAGTTGTCAGTTTAATTGTAAACAACAGCAATAAGATTCAGTAAGTAAAAAAAACATTATTGAGCTTATTAAAAGTGGGGGAAGGAAAGCAAGTGCTGAAATTCTCCATTTGCTAAATTAAGGGAATGTGTTGCTCTGTGTGTGTAGCTAAATGTAATAATTAAATGTTAAATAATAAAGTACATTCTCAGAAGAAGATTCACTGACCAAATAAATACAATTTGCTGTGCAATAAATGCACAGCGATAAATTTGCTGAATTTGGTGAATGAAGGATAACGTCAGGCAGATGTTAAAGATCCCATTACCACTATTCTGGGACGTCCTCCTGACGTGAAAGGCGCTCTATAAATGGAATCTTGTTGTTGTTGTTGTTGTTGTATTCGAAAAGGGAAAGGAATTTCCACTGGTGTCTTGACAAATAATCCTCCAGATTAATTGGTCATTTCATTTCTTGACTGTTTGAGGGACTTGGCAGCTGTATTTCCCCTCAGAAGCACAGTGACTACCCTTGACAGCAATTCTCTGTAAATTGTTTTGAGACATCTTGATGTTAAAGGCACTATATTAAAGACAAGGTTTGGCCGTCTAACACAGATCATAACAGTTAATCAACAGAGCATAATAAATCCTATAAATGGATTAATCTCCAATAAAGGGGAGGGGGGCAAGGAAAATAATATCTGTGCCACAAAATATAATATTGTTAGCACATATAGCCATATGTAAGTGGAATCTTGTAGGGCACTCGCCTGGTGAGAGGACCCGGGTATGATTCCTGGGCAGGGTGAAACCTTAGGCGAGTTTCCTACTCCGCATGCCTCTGTTTACCTAGCAGTAAGTAAGAACCCAGTTGCTAGTCGATTGGCGGATCACTTTCCACTGGTAATAATCCCTCAAAAAAGATTTGGTCACTGCATCCACAACACTGTTTGTGGGACACTGATGTGCACAATTGGCTGCCGCGTTTTGCCCACAAAATACACAGTCCATCCACTTCATAATATATTCTGTGAAGCGCTTTGAGATGTCTCAACTACGTGATAAGGCACTATATCAAATGCAAGAATTATTATAGTGGAATCTCAGTGTCCCACAACAGTTATATACTGGAGTCTCAATTCTCACTGTTTTAAAAAAACATTTGTGTTTGGAAATGTAAAATATTTTCAGACGGTTACTCATGACTGCTGGAAAGGTGTGGTCATTTTAGATGAGTCCTTCCTTTGTGAAAGCGGCAGATGTCTGCTTGCCCTAACAGTGGCAGAGCAATGACTGCACCACACAGCCACCAGTCAAGTCACAAGGTCAAGGGGAGGTGGGCGAGCAGGTGAGGCTATCAGCCGTTATGGACGATGCACCCAGAAATCACATGATAGAAAAAGAAACCGTCTGTTTTCTTATTCAAATTTTTGTTTGTAGCCGTCTTGTTGGTTTTTATTTAGGGACGAGATTTTGCATATTTGGATCAGAAAGAGCAGGGCAGGTGTGAGCAGCTGATAGCTCTGCTAAATGGTTCCCTTCTTGCAATATCATTTGCCTATTGCAGTGTTTGAGCAGTTACTGAAATGTAACAAATGTTTCCCAATCTGTGAGGCTGGCCGCTGCTGCTGAAAGAGAAAGCTCATGAGTCATTCTGTCCTTCCTGCTTTCATGTCAGAGTGTCGGTTTGTAGCACTCCTACCTGTGAGTGAGAAGGGTGTATGTAGGTGCAAATCCTACATCAGATCTTTGAGATCTGACTCCTTCAATGAAGCCTTGTGCCACTGGAGCATGGTGACTTCAGACTTTTGCACATGCATGAAAAATCATTAATAACTTATTTTTGTGAACTCTACCATACAACTAACTGTGAAAAGTACCATGAGTAAAGTTGTCTCATATTCAGGATTTCTCCCAGTCTCCCATTACTGTTATCTGGATAGCAGAGGTTGCAATTACAATGATGCTAACACGTGCTTGCTGCAAGTACCCTGTGTATTTACGCCCCCAAAATATACAGTCAATTCACTTTATAGTATATTCTGTGACTTGATTTGAGATGTCGCTAAGATGTGATAAGGCGTATATCAAAGGCAACAATTACCATTGTTACTTAATTTGGAGGATGATTGGTTAGTGTTATTTGTTTTTAATGTAGACCTAATTGGGTGGACGTGACCTCAATTAACCGCCTAAAGTACAGTATCTCCCTCAGTGTCAGCCTGGGTGCATGAGCTCAAATCCTGAAATGGAGGCTTGACTCGACAATCTTTGCCCTGGAGGCGAGACTGAGCCAAGCCAACGCCTAATTTCCCTTGTGGCTCCTGAGAATGCTTTGAATTGCAACAATTTTGTTCTTGTTTATAATACACAGGCCTTATGAGACGCATTCCTCTTGAGTAAAAGTAGAGACAGAAACAGAATGAAAGGAAAATTTGCACTAGTCTCTAAGGGATATTTCTTTTGCAATATATAAAAAGATGTTTGCAGCTAATTGATCACAGCAGGGTCTATCCAGGGATAGCAAATGTGAGTTTTTTGTGATGCTTGTTCATCCATGTAAGTCTCTTCTAACGTTTTTAAAGAATCAATTCATGTCTCCTCCAAAGAAACAAATTGTCTTCCTCATTACCTTAACAGGACGGCATTTCTGCTTCCTATGAAACTGGACAGCTTATGATAAGTGAGCTTTTTAGAGACACTTATAAATTCCAGGAGTAAACTGATTTGAACCTCTTCTGTCTCCTGAATGATAGTCTCACAGAGCTTAAAGCCTGGTGGTGGCTAATGGTTAACTCCACACCTCAGGCGCTGACAGCATCACCATCCGAGGATGCACACTTCACCTTACTAAGCTAGTCCGGACGTTCGGCGTCTTGTTTGACCCTCAACTATCCTTTCTACCCCACATCCATGCCATGACCCGCTCTGCCTTCCTCCACCTCTGCAACATCGCCCGGCTCCACCACTGTCTAACACCGCAAGCCGCTGAAACCCTCATACGTGCATTCATTACATCAAGGCTTGACTATGCAAACTCCCTGCTTGTCGGCCTCCCCAACTCCTCCCTCCATAGGCTGCAGATCATCCAGAACTCTGCAGCCCATGTCTTCTCCCACACCGGGCTCCGTGACCCCATTACCCCCATCCTTGCCTGACTACACTGGCTTCCCATCACACAGGGATACAGTTCAAGATCCTGGTCTTCAACTTAAAAGCCCTCCAGGGCCTCATTCCTCCCTACCTCCGTGACCTCCTAACCTCCTCTAACCTGCCCGCTCCCTCCACTCAGCCGGCGCTGGCTGGCTCCATGTCCCCCGCCTCACCCGCCCCACCATTGGTGGGCAAGCCTTCAGCCACTCTGTCCCCATCCTCTGCAACTCCTTACCGTAGTCCCTCTGCCTCGCCCCCTCCCTTGCCTCCTTTAAGACACATTTTAAGACCCTCCCCTTCAACCGTGCCTTTGATCACTCTCCTTCCTCCCTCTGCCCTCCACCCTCCCTGATCCCGGCCCCCAGCTTGGGGTCCAAACACTGACTGTCCAGGGCCTTGGTACGTCCTCCCGAAGTGAAGGCGCTATACAAATGTAATCTTGTTGTTGTGTAAGGTCCCTACCGTTGTCTTAACCTTCAGCTCTTTTCCGCAAATGACTGAGTGAGCACCCAACTCATGGATAGTTTTCAAACGTTATAATATTGACAATTTTTTTAATTAAACAAAATCAAATACCAACCTGGTTTTGATTAATAAATGCAGTTTTAACTTGTAATTGTACAACACAATTGTACACTTATATAACACCTTTCATGAGGGAGAACATCTCGAAATGCTTTGCAGAGATGGAGTGGGAATGCGGGCGGGGTAGGAGTTAGTGGGGTAGATGAGAAGTGACTGAAGGTACGGTCATTGAGATGGATTATTAGCTGGGCCAAAGAAAAGTGCTGAAATATTTGCCAAAAATTGCTGGGAAATTAAGAAAATATTTGTGGGAAATTGCGGGGAAATTTGGCCACTTTTTTGGCCAAATTTTGCAGGGAATTGCGGGGGCTGTTGAAGTACATTTTACAAGCAATCTACATTTTTTCACTTTATTGATAAAAACGAAATATGAGGAAATAACATGTATTAGATTGTCGCAAATTTAAAAAAATAGTTTTTCTTTAACAAAAAATGGGTGGCCCATTTGGGGGTGGGGTAACGACACCAGCGTAGACCCAAAGGGCCTGGAAATCTGCCCGAAAACATGCACTCAGGACCAGTGTTCTGACTGTAGGGCTACAAGAGCTCAATACCTCCTGCTTCTCAGGGCTCAGCATCACACACAGAGACACACACACACTCACAGACACAGAGGGACACGCATTCTCAGAGAGAGAGACACACACACACACACAAATAGACACAAAGAGACATGCACACACAGGCTTAGGAGAGAGAGAGACAGGGACACACACAGACACATTCACAAACACAGAGACACAGAGGAGAAAGAGACACAGACCCCCTCACACAGAGATGCTCACAAACAGACACACGTACAGAGGAGAGAGACACTCTCACACATAACTCACACACTCACTCAGAAACACATACGTACAGAGAGAGAGACACATATACACACTTACACAGACACTCACAAACACATACACGTATGTGTGATCTTTAATACACACTTGAACAGAGAGACAAGACCTTGCTTTAACATTTCATCTGAGGGATGGCACCTATAATAATGCAGCACACCCTAGACTGTGAGTTCAAAGTCACGACATGGGGCTTAAACTCACAACCTTCTGACCCTGAAATGAGTGCTAATATCTGATACTGCTACTATAAAGTGTAGTGACTATATATTTGTAGGCGAATGCTCACTAAGGACCAATATGTTTCTGGTTAATTGTGGTATTTGCAAATTGCTTTATGCTCGTTCTAATCGTTTTTTTTCTTTCTCCTCGACAGAGTGTCCTATTCAGTCCATGTGTCGGAAGATTACCCAGGTATGCCATTCTCTAAATATCTTCTTGTTGGAAATGTGCAATTGGCCTGTAACACTCTCCAGCCAAAGTGTTGTCTCCTTTTATTCTCAACTGCTAACTGCTAATTTTTCTCCTTCAGTTTTTCCCCCAACTTCTTTGTATGGAAGATGCAGAACAGTTCTCAGAGTTACTACACTACAGTACAACTGTGCAGCTATTGTTCTTACCTAATATGTACATCCACCTATCTTCCAGCAAAGGGGATGGGGGCGGAGGGGGGGTGGGGGTTGTCTCTGTATGAGATAAGGGCCCTCATTGTATTTTCTCTTCCTAACCTAAGAACACTGGGGGTTGTCTCTGTATGAGATAAGGGGCCCTCATTGTATTTTCTCTTCCTAACCTAAGAACACTGAGGCTAGTTGCAGTTCCTAAACCTTTTGTCCATCTGAGATCATCAAATGCAGCACACACCAGCCCAGACCTGTGTTACTTCATATATAATAATAATAATAATAATAATTCTTGCATTTGATATAGCGCTTTTCACGTCTTCTAGATGTCCCAAAGCGCTTTACAGAATATACTGTAAAGTGAATTGACTGTATTATTTGTGGGTGGACCCGGCAGCCAATTGCGCACAGCAGTGTCCCAGAAACAGTCGTGGATTGAAAATGACCAATTTATTATTGTTTTGTTTTTTGGAGGGATTATTATTAAAATAAAATATTAATATAAAATGTGTGGATTACTATTACATTATTGATTGTAAAAATAAATGCTGGGAATGTGGAATTTGGACCTTCTAGTGTTAATTATTGTGAAGTTGACCACTTTGCACTTCTTACAGGAATATTCCATAGATAGTTGAGAATTTTAAAGCCCCTGCAGTTAGCGGCAAGCAAAATTTCACCCATTGTGCGTTTCCTAGCAATCAATCTTATACCAAGAAAGCTGTCAATGTAAGTAGAAAAAGACGGAAATGCAAGGCAGGTTGAGTAGCATCTGAAATAGAAAGATGGGTTAATACTATGCATCACAAAAAGTGAACCTGTTTATGCTACATTATGAATCTCCAAGTATTAAGGATTGGACAGAGCCAGGGTTGGCAAGGTGGCAGGCCTCTCTCGGACCCAATCTTGAAACAATTCGCTGAGCCCCAGTCTGATCAGCCCAGACAGATTTCTAAAAATATCTGCAGCTCAGACTTGCTGATGGCAGAGTTGAATATTCCCAGTAAAATCCTGTTTGACATTTTATGGAGGTTAATGGGATGGGGAGCAGGAGGATGGGTGAGTGGGCTGACTTGTTGGCTCTCTACTCTTGTCCTTGGATACAATCACAGAAGGTTGACACAATATGTGTAGGTAAGAGAGAGACCAGGAAATCATTTTCTCCCATATACTGTATTATGCTCTGCAATGGAGGAGAGAACACGGTGTATTACACAAAGTTAGAAAAAAGAACTTGCATTTTTGTAGCACCTTATGTGTCAAAACATGACAAAGGACTTTACACTAAGTATTGTAAAGTTTCTTTTTGTAGAAAAATGTTGCGGCCAATTTGGTGAGGAAAAGGTCCTACAAACAGCTAAGGGTGAATGCCCAGTTTTATCAGGAGGATTGTTGAAAAGGATACCAGGAGAAGCTTCCTTTTCTTATCAAATGGTATTACCCAAAGCTCCACCACTTGCATCCTCACTCACTCCAAACTCCGCACTCCGCAATGTCCACTGGCTCTCTATCTACAAGAAGATCAATTTCAATGTCCTCACCCTCACCTCTGTACCTTTCTGATCTTTTCCTATTCCCCCGCTCAGCTATCTTGGGTTCGCTGTGCATCACCTGCTCTCCCCATGCCACCATCAGTACCACTGAGCTAGGCTCACACACCTCAATGATATCCATTTAGTGTCCTGCATATATACCCCTCCAAATGTTTTTGTACCTCTTTTCATGTGTGCTTGTGAGGCTGCAGCTCAGTTGGTCTCAATGGATTTCAGTTGCAAGTCAACCACAAGGTCAGTGAAAGCCGTAGTGATGGTTGCTCAGCAGACTTGTCTGACTGCAATTAAACTACTAAGGCATTGAGACATGATCCCTCTACCTCTGAGTACATTCCTATCAATTAATCTATTCCAATGATCACAGATCACAGATTATTAAACTAATATTCATGATATTTTTTGAAAATTGACATTGCAATACATTACCATGGAACACAATTTTAATTCTTTTTGAAGCTCTTACTTTTGGTATCAACATCAATTACCCAATTGATGTGAAAGATTCCCAACATTGCAGTATTTTAACAGTCAAGATTTTAACAGAAGTTTGAGAACCGCAGAAAAAATGCATCTGAATAATGAATGATAATTAATAATTTAAAAACACATTGCAAGTTGAAGGACATGATTCAGACAGTTCAATTTAGGCTTAGGGTATTCTGCTAAGCAATGGTGACCCCATGCCTTAGAGTTATTGAAGGGTGATCGACAGACTCTTTAGTTGCCACCTGGGCAACTACTGTGAACAGAATGCAAGAGGAATTGAATTATTTTGTGATACAGTAAAACTTGCATAAGTCTTATCTTTATGGATCGTATAATCATTTAAGTCTTACATGCATCTGAATCCCATTCAGTTTCCTATCAAAACCACTTTGATTTCTTTGATTAATTGTATTAATCATCTCATAACTCGTAATGCCACTCCCCTAGCCTCCATTACTCCCGCACTTAACGGCTGCATTAAATCTTGGGAAATGACGTCGTGATCGGTTGTTGCATGCACACTTACCAGCCAGCTGCATTGAATCACAGATTCATGCCCGACTGCATTGAAGTCTGTTCCCAGACTACAGATCTGAGATGGAAGCATGTGATATTAATTTATTAGTGAGTCACAGGACTTGACATTTCTAAGAAAACAAAGAAATAATGTAACAATGGCAACCCATTAATTTGATGTAGCACCTTATCATGTCTTTGAAGCACTCTGAGATACTATCTAGATTAAGGGCACTATATAAATAAGTTGTTATTGATGACTGTTTCAAAGCTCTTCACAGTATTTACTGTAAACTGTTTCTATACATGAACACAACAAATAATTTTCACACAGCAATTTCACTCAAACAGCCACAAAGTGAATGACCAATATTACTTGAGGGATTGTTATTTCAGGGCTATTTTTTGTGTCAAAAAGGAAGAAAATTGAAGTAAAAAAAGAATCAAAAATAACGTGTACATTTGATGAAAATCAGTAAAAATCTGCCACTGATTTACTGATTTTATGCTCATGTTAAAAGTAGGGGGAGAACTCCACAGGGTTATTTAAAGCAGCATAACTCTTAGCAACCCTTTCAACCTTTGATCGCAAGCAGCAAATGCAAGTGATTCTGGCACTAGGTAACATACTTGGCTGCCAAGAAAGCATCCTGAAGTATATTACACACATATAACACGCTGTAAGGTCCTTTGAGCACTGTTGCAGGATTCAAAAATCAACTGAGCACTATTGCAAGGTTCAGAGGTCACCTGTGAGCACACATTTAAGTGTCAGTCAAATAGGATGCAATGAGTACGCATCACAGGCTCACACAAGATTACAAAATGGATTTGGATCAAAACCATCCTTCAGCCTATTTGATCCCTTCCTTCCACCACTACCAATCTTCCCCATAATCGAATCAAACTGTCTTTTGAATGAGTTCAACGTTGTGGCTTCAACCACGGTTGCTGGCAACCTGTTCGTTGTTAATTAACTTCTGGGTAAAGCAATACTTCCTGGTATCTGTCCTAAAATTGCCTTTTGTAATCCTGAGCCTGTGTCCTCTTTTTCTGCTGTCTTGGTGCATCCGAATTGCCATTATAATAATAATCCTTGCATTTGATATAGCACCTTATCACATCTTCAAAATGTCTCAAAGCACTTCAAGAGTATACTGTAAAGTGAATTGACTGTATATTTTGTGGTTGAATCCGGCAGCCAATTGCGCACAGCAATGTCCCACAAACAGTCATGGATTGAGTGACCAATTTATTATTATTACTATTTTTGTGGAAGGAATTATTACCCCCAGAAAAGTGATCCAGAGGTGTGTGGAGTAAAGAGGCTTGCCCAATGTTTACCCTGCCTGGAATCGAACCGAGGTCTTTCGCTTGCGAGGCGAGTGCTCTAACCACTGGGCTACAGGACTCTATTGGGCAAATTATCTGCCAAACAGCCTATCAAATCTGCCCTCTCCATACCCAATTTTACCAAACTTCACTTCATCCCTAATTGGTCTAAGGTGTGGATTGCCCCAGAAGCAGAAAATAAAGCTGAGTGAATTCATTTATTTTGGAGCAACTCATTTTTCACTGATTGACTTTTACCAAAAAATCCACTTTTGGCAATTGACAAGCCGCCATGAAACATATAACAATTTATCTGGAGGATCGTTGGTGAGGACACCTTGACTTAACCCGCAAATATCACATATCAAAAATTTGGTCATTGAATCCACGACTGTGTGGGACACTTCTGGGGCAATTGGCTGCTGCGTTTCACCCATAAAATATACAATAAATTCACTTTACAATATTTTCTATGAAGTGCTTTGGGACATCTACACAACATGATTTAATAAATAGCTTGATGCTGTTATTATGGAGTCCTGTAGCTCAGTAGTAAGAGCACTCGCCTCACAAGTGAGAGACCTGGGTTCAGTTCCTGGCCGGGTGAAACGTTAGGCAAATTTCCTTACTCTATAAGCCTCTGTTTACCTAGCAGTAAGTTAATCAATTGTTAGTCGATTGGCGGATCGCTTTTCTGGGGATAATAATGCTTCAAAAAAATAATAAATTGGTCACTCAATCCACGCCTGTTTGTGGGACATTGCTGTGCGCAATTGGCTGCTGTGTTTCGTCCACAATATTTACAGTCAATTCACTTTACAGTATATTCCGTGAAGCACTTTGAGACATCTAGAAGACATGATAAGGCGCTATATCAAATGTAAGGATTATTATTATTATATTC